TTCAGAATTTAAAAAAAGTAAAAATTGACGTGGAAACTACATTCTGTTTTCTGCACAGCTTCTGTTTACAACATTTAGCTCTAATAATATTGAGTGAGAAGTAGATGTTATGTTTCAAAACATGGGCCAAAACAGCAAGACCTGAGCAGAAGCCAAATTATATGACCAAATGGTATCCAGAGTCTTACTGAAAATGGTGGGACAGGACTGTTGGTTGTTTGCAGCTCTGATTGAAAGTCTGTGCATCTGGGAGAGGAAGCAAGGCAAAAGCCAGCAGGCCTAGAGAAAACACAGTGGTAAGTCACCTTAGGAAGAAGTCTATAGGCAAAGCTAGATATCTCTAGGGAATTCACTGAGAGTGCGGGCTCTGAGGTCTGTCTACTCGGTTGAGGGACACAGGGACTTGAAGTTCATTCTTTATAAATACAGTATTGTATCCGTTTCATTTTAACTTAGTTTGCTTCCAGGTAGAAACAACTTGTCAAAGTCCCAAGTACTAGGTAACTTGTCAACCCAAGAGACTGCAAGCCATCATTTCCAGGAAGAATGAAGACCTAAGGTGGAATACGGTAGACAATTCAGTGATGTGTAAGAAGATGGAGATTTTTGTATTTTGACCTTATAGAACTAAAAACTTAATTATTGATGTTACTCAGTGCTCATAGTAGGCCTCATCTATATTGCTGCATAAACAAGGGCCAAGGAGCAGCCCCTGGCCCTCCTAACATTAACTGGCTCGTGTCCATGCTGCTTAGTACTAGCTGCTCTAAAGCAGATTTGCTTTGTAGAGAGTTATTTAGAGTAGTTCAAAACTAAGAGATTAAACCAAAAGGAATATGCATCATCAGGGGCAGAGTGGTCAACACTTCCTGGCTCTCTCCTACTTAGCAGCGTAGAAAAGCCTATAGGCAACATGCTTATTGAAAGAGAACTAGCTCAGCAAGCATTGTTTCTCTGAGATAACTCAGGATAGATACCAAACTGATAGCTGCTCTGTGGGAGGCTACAAAATTAGTGGTCCATTGTTGTGGGTGGGAAGGAGAAGCATAGGTGTCTCTCTTAAGTTCGCTTTTGTTCAGTGTTTTTGTTAGTGGCCTCAATAATGAAAGCACAAGTGTGCCTATTAAATTTGCAGCATACAAAAGCTAAGGGATTTCAATTATATTGGGGACAGAACTGGAATTCATAGTGATCTCAACAAAGTGGAAAAGTAATCTGGAAAATGTCAGATAAAATTTTGTATGGGTAAGTGCAAGGAGATGAATACTATGAGTAACCAGCTGCTTGGATACAGGGTGGAGAACAACTGGCTAGATTCTTCAGAGGAGGATTTGGGGTCATTGTGTATCCTGAGATGATTATAAATTAGTTTATAATCCTGTTGTAAAAGAAACAAATGCCGTACTCTGTGATTATCAAATACAGGTTTGGAAAATGCATTCAAGAATGCTATGGACCCTTTGTAGACTGTCCAAAGGATAGCAGTGGATATTATTAGAGAATCTGTTAGAGAAAATGTGACTTCTAGGAAAAGTAGAAAGCATTGCTGGCACTGGAGTGGGAAAAGGAAGGATAAGTCTTCATTGAGATTAAAGGTTGGTTAAGAAGAACGAAAAAACAAAAACCAGTCTGAGGGTTCTGAATCTGTGCGCCTCATCTATCGAATTGTTTTCTAAAGGAGCTGTAAATACCAGAAGATAGTATACTATTTCAAAGCATATAAAGTGATATACACCAACGGAGCTGAAGTTGCACCAAGGAAAATGATGCTACCTGGAGTGGCTGTTCCTCAGCATCTTTTGCCCTTGCCTGGTTGTGTGAATCAGATTGACTTCACCCTAAGAAGAGCCTTTGATATCATTTTATTCTGCACAGCCCTTGCTGTTTTTTCAGAGTCTCGGTCCTATCTGTGCTTCTAAGATAAAGAGCTAAAGAGAGAAGAAAAATTAACCCATCATCTGTAAGCTGAATAAAAAAATGGTTGGAAAAAAATCCCTTGAGCAAGTATGTTACTGCTTTTGGGATAAAGCAGCAGAAAGTGTTTTATACTGGCACATGCAAAGACCAATATGTGCCAAGGTGGCATTCCTTTAAAATATTTCGTATTTCAATTGTTTAACCTTTTCTTTGCTGACAAAGTTCCTCTTTTTTCTCCTTGTATAATGAAAGTCTCTGACATGTTAGTCTAATTGAAATGACAGAAGTTAAAAGTAAAATTGATTCTTTGTCACTGGAGCATCCCCAAGCGTTTAAAAGGAAATATTAGCTGAGGAAACAGGAGGTATGTGTTAACCAGTTAGAAACCAAAATCTTTTGCTGTAGCACTTTGCCTTAAGAAAATAAGCAACACTAACTGAGTGAAGACATGCTTACTAGGTCACATTAACAAACGAATTTAATGAATAACTGAATTTGTATTTGAAATAGCTGCAGTTCCAAATGTATGAATGATGCTGATTCTCTGTGGAAGAAAGAACGGAACTGAAGACAAGGCACTTAAAAATGCATTAGAGAAGCTAATTTTGTGATTCTTCCATCTTTGGAGCTCGAGGGAGAGAGCTCCTCTGCTTTGATACAATTTTGCCTGCTCTTCCAGCTGACCACATTGCAACCAGAGGAATTTTTGAGGATTTTTGGTTTTGTTTTTAGCTTTTGTCTTCAGAGCAGGAGGGCTTAGTGCCAATGCTGCAGCTTCAAGGCTTGTCTTCTGCTCAGCTGCTCCTTGCATCCCAACCGTACAATGTCAAACCAGAGTGATCCCAGTTGTATTTGATGGTAAATGCCGAAGCTGTCTGACAGTCCCAGGCTCTGCTGTTGCAGAGATGAACAGTGAGGCACTTCCAGCAGGAGATACGCAGTATTTGGAATGACTCCCAAAGGCAGATGTATATTTCTTTCGTAAACCATTGGAGTCATGGAAAAGTTGCTGTAAATTTAACTGGACTGGTGCTTGCTGGAAAGAAATTGTAGCCGTTTCTGATCACTGAGCAAAAAGGTGGTCTGTAATGGTTTCCTGTTCCTAAATGCTATATCCTCCTTCCATGTTAGTAGGTGTTTTAGAGGTAGATTGTGCGTGATAGCTGTATGAATAAGTAGAGCCTAAGTGCCAAAGACAGTCTAGCCTGTCTGACTTTCAAATTAATCCTCAGAAATGCTACCTCATGAATATTAAAATTCAGCCTCCTGTGCCATGATCAATATATTAATTTTTATCTATGACCTCACAAAGATCCAGCCTGACAAGCATTTGTCCAATATTCCTGTGTAAATGTCGAGACAGATGGTTCTCAAAGCTCTCTGTAATATTTCACATAATAGTAGAAGTGTCTTACTGCACTGACCTCTTCATACCGACAGCAGAAACCCAGGCAAATGCTTGCTAAATGGGACAAACTGACTTGGCATTGGGACAGAAGAAATGAGATTGGCAAGAAGATACAGTGAGGCCCCTGTATGAGCTTATGTTGAGCCAAGGTAACTGTCAGCTGGGGCAAAACAGTCCCCCAGGAAAGTTAGTCTCCATGGAGGAAACAAGGTGTATTCAGAAGGAAATAAAGAGGGGCTCGATGACAGATGAACTACAGCCTGGCAGATTAGCCAGGCTAATTTCCAGAAGAGGTCATTTGTCCATTTTATTTCTCAAGAACAGAGAAGTGCAGTGGCCCATCCAGTAGCTGAGGCTGGCTACCAGTTCATACTGGAGGTGGTTAATGATACCTGAGAAACAACCCTTATTTATTTGGAATTCACTTTGAAGGACTATATATTGAAATGCTTTCAGGTCAAACTACCATTTGAAATGCTAATCAACTGAAATTGGCCTTTACCACCAGTGGATATTTGTATCAAAGAGCTTTCTTGCACCCCTTTCTGTCAGTCTAAATCAAATTTAGATTACACTGATGTAGTATTTTTAATGTAGATTCCCAGGAAAATAATCTTTTCTGTGTCATTAGTGTTTTACTATTTTTAGCCGAGTATTAGCTAGCCATTACCGTGCTTAGTATTGTACAGAGAAGCTAGTCTTCATTATTCATTCTAATGGTTAGTTTCCCCAGTATTTTTACGTACAAGATTCACAGAGCTTGTGTCAGGAATAAAACTGATTATGCTGAATATTCAAATGTTAGTCAAGCCTGATGAGATTTCCCTTCTCATCCTCCAAGGAGTAAAGCTTCCTGTAGAGTACGTGCTGCAGGGCACAAACTCTATGTCCCATGGAAGAATGCATTCCTTTGCACCTTTCCTTGCGGAGGTCACTTCAAGCACACTGCAGAATGTCTCACCACTAAGCAGTTGTCATTGCTTAGCAGCTTGTCGGCTTAGCTGCAGCCCACAGCCAAGGCGCCCGTTTGGCAGTGCCTGAGTAGACTGAAGTGATATTTCCTGCAATGCTTGTCATGCCATGCTAACACAGCTAAATAGCTGAGATGACCTTCTCAGGGAATCTTTGAATGAAAATAATGTTGTGATTAAACAAAACTAGTCTCAGGGGTAAGTTTAGTAGTCTATTAAAAGAATAAAATTTTATTCTCGACTCGTTCAATTTAATGAATGAATAAACCATCCAACCCAAGGATGAGGACCACCACCACAAAGATTTTAGGTGACCAATGACAAATCTAGGGTAGTAAACTCCAGATCTCATATCAGACACAGGACTGAATCCTCTGTTGGGAAAATCTATCTGAAATAAAATTGAATGTCAGAACTATGCATGATAGAGATTTGTCAAACCTAAAAAAATAAATAGACTCATAAAGATTCTAATCTGAATAAAAACAATTTGTAAACAACATATAGGCCCAAATTTACTGAATAGAAATTGATTGCAACAAGTTATTGTGTCTGCTCCGTTTATTGCCATTTGCCATCTGTTCGAAGTAATTGATACTCTTTCAAAGTACTCTGAAGTAATAGGCTTTGTAGCACTCCACTTAACAGGCTTTCTCCAGCTACTCTTTATTTTAGTTTGGAAACATTTGTCTCTCCTATCACAGGTAATCAGCGAGTTTGAAGCCTCTCCCGACTCGTTTTCCTACAGAATTCCTAACCTAAGTCGAAATCGGCAGTACAGCGTCTGGGTGGTGGCAGTGACTGCTGCAGGAAGAGGCAACAGCAGCGAAATTATCACTGTAGAACCACTAGCTAAAGGTATGATGACAGCACTTTCTAAAGTAATGCAAAACTTCAGGATGCTAGTTACTGTTATAATTGGCATATGGTTTCTTTATATCTCATTGCTTACTAAGAGTGGGATTTGTCAGGGGTAACTTCAGTTCTCTCCAAAAGTTAGACACCAACTCTTTGTCAATTGCCCAAGCTTTTGCTATAGTCAGCAGAGAGAGGAAGAATGATGTACTTCTCTAGAGGGTAATTCATCCCACCTACCTTAGAAGGAAATAAATGGCTTTTTGGAGCAGTTTTTATCTTCTTTTGTTAGATACAGAGAGATTTCAGATGATGCCCTCCCTTACTGAGTGTCTCTCTCTCTTTTTTTGCCATACAAGATAACTTCTTTACCGTTCCTCTCCTTACTAATCTCTCATGTGTGCTCCACAGGTACTATCTTCGATGTCAATTGACCGGATTGACATATCTAAACTCTGAGCAATTGTTCTCAACTTGTGTTAGCTTTGAAGTTTGCTGCTTCCATTTCAGATCTTAAGAAGGGATAATGTGCCTGAAATCTTATGCATTTTTTTCCAGTTACATTAGTTCTTCTAAAAAAGATATTACTTGGGCCTGTACGTTCTGCCTTACCTGTACCATTAGACATCATGTTTACAAGACTCTACCACTTTAGCTTGGAAACAGACACCTAACTTTTTAGATAGCAAGCCAAGGTGAGGCCCATCAGTAATCAGTTTCTCCATGAGTTCTTTATACTGATCTTTTTTTTCCACTCAAATTATCACCACAGCTGCCAATATGAACGATTTAGCGCGCTTGTCCCTGGAGTTACGAAGGTAGAGACCATTTGATTGACTTTACAGTTTCACAAGGCTTCTGCTGCTTCAATCACATGGCTAATGATGTAGTAATATAAAAGAAAATGTCTAGTGCTTTATGATGACAGATACTTTCTTAAAAAGCATTGCAGAACTACAGTCAAACACCACCAACATGAACAACATGCATTTTCTGCGTGGAGAGGCATATACCACCACCATGAGGATGCTTGCTGTCCCAAGCTACCTCAATGGCAGCTAACCAGTTGGATGATAAACTATCAGGTGATAGTATTTGGAAAGTACAACTTTAACATGTGAAATAGCTTTCTAATGCGCGGGATTCCTTAGGCTTGTGATGGGGACTTCCATGCCTTTTCTTTGCCTCTCCTCTAAGTCAAAGATTTCATCATATGGGATGGGTATTTTTCAACATTTCTAAAGGGAACTTGTAGCAACTATAATGTTACTACTTTGACTGACAGTGGAAGATTTGTCAGTGTTAATGTGGGGAGGGTCTAGCAAGGTAGATTGACCTCAGTGGGAACAAACAGGGGAATGTTTGCTCCCCAGGCCATTACTGACAATCTCTTTATGTCAACTGGGTAGACTCACCTTTACTTTCTGCTTCTGCTAACATCTGACATCTTTCAGAAGAGCTTTTTTCTTAGTGGCTACACAGCATTAGTGGAGTGACCTTATGAATGACCGAAAGGCTATGAAAAGTCTGAAGGCTATGAAAAGTCTGCAGGTTTTCCATTGTTATATTCCTTGTAGAATAACTGCCTACTGCATTTTGAACATCTGTGAGACCAAAGTCGGGGTATTAAAAGATGAATGAGCTACGTAAGGAACATCTGAAAGGGAAGCCTCTGAAAAACACCTCAGAGGAAGAGGGCAAAGGTTTCAACATGCTTCTCTTTTGAGGCTGGCAGTTACTTATGCGTGATGAATGCATGGTGCTGGAAATCAACAAAAATAGACATAGTGCATTGATGCTTGAATAAAATCAAAAACAATTAGATGATAATATGGTGTAATATTAATAGATTAGGGACATAGGCAGTCCTGGGACTGTGCAAGGACCCCACTGCACAAAGCACCAGAAGTTCACTTTCTCCATTTCCTATGTAATTAAAAGGAAAGGAAGTGTTCAGACAAGATGAATGCAGAGCAATGCAAAGTTCATGGATATCCAGATGAGTTGATCTGGTTGTGAAGAAATGCAGGATGTGATCGCTCTAGGATTGCCAAAAATAGACAAGTTACAAATTGATCCGCAAATACCTAAACCGAACAAGCTTTCTACAAGCTAGAATTAAACCTGCTCCAGCAAAGCTTATTAATATGATCCATGATGCCCAATGAATGAAATTAAAAATATCTTTTATGAGAAGTCCAGGGGACTTTAAGGAGAAGTACCTAATTACTTCAATATAGCCAAGTCAGAGTAGACAAGACTTTATTCTGAAGGACAATAGAATGCATCCAGCGAATATTAGAGCTAGTAATGAGGCTCCAATATAAAATCTACATTAGATAATGCTCAAGACAAGCCTCTGTTACAGGCATACACTTTAGATTGAAAAAGTAATGAATAATCCATCTGTGGAAATTGTGATCGGCGCTAGGAATACAGATACATAGCAATTTTATCAACATTGGATGTAGCCAGGTTAGAAATTATTATAATATGTATGAGATTTCCTGTATGAATGCACAAATGAACCTTTTAGAGAGCTGGGAGAAAGTGGTGATCAGTAATAAGGACAGTGGACACACAGATGAAGAATGATGGACAGAGTTAATAGCCTTGAAGACCTTTCTCCCTAACGTGTCTAAAGCATGTAACTCATCACAGGGTTAGAAGCAGTTAAAGCCTGGTTTTGCCACAAGAAACACAAAAGGCTAGTTTACAGGGAAGAAGTCGTCCCCAGGGCAAAAGCATCCTATAGGCTATTACTGTGAAGTTATTTGCTTCCTTTCTTCTCCACTTACTTCACAGTAACTGTCCATGTAATGCTGGCGTCATGACAGCTAATGAGAATTAACTTGAAATTGAATTATGTCAACTTCATTATAACCCCCTTAATTCTCAATGAGAACGTGTAGATAGGGTTTTGAGATGAAATGGCTGGTCCAATTTAAATGAAAGCTTAATTCAGGTTTACATTTCTTTCTTTAGCGTCTCCATATCTCAGAACAGATTGTGATTCTCTGTAATTAACTGACAAAAGTAAGCAAAAAAAAAGAAAAAGTAAGCACAGCAAGCAAAATTCAGCCTCCGTGATGTAAGCGCGCTGTGCCTCATTGAATCATGCTTCATTGCTGACTTGGAATTTCTGTTTTTAGTCTATCAAATAAGTCTAAAAGACAGGAAATCTTACATACACTTTGTCCCTCTTGTTTACTGACCACAAGTAATGGAGAACGGCTTTTGCCAGCGACATGAAGACAACAGAATTAGGCCTATGGCCATCTGATCCTTTTGAGAGAACTCTTTGATTTTACTTTAATATTGAGTTTACCCTGCTCTTATTGTCTACTGGAACATTAATGTTGAACAGACTTGCTGCCTAGTCTATATTGCTTTGTGTATTTAATGATTTGAAACAACACACGGGTCTGACATGATACCGTGCACACACCATCAGTCTGTTTCTTTAATGATTCATCAGGCTGGAGTACACTGTGTATTCTTCTGTTAGCCAGTAAGTGAAAGAAGCTCCTGAGCCACGGTATTCAGTGACAGCTCTTGTATTCTGACTGAGCTGAGCTGCAGTGAACCGCCATGCCTCTTGCTCAGAATTTCTTTGTATTGTTTACCTTTAAATTTTGATTGTGTCCTCCAGAAAAAAAGATCAAGTGCATGATGGCCTCTTGCTAAGAAGTTCTGGCTGCTGTGACAGTGAGTGTAGTTAATAGGATTCATAATTTAAACAAAAAAACATGCAGAAAACCACACTAGCATGAGAAAGTGTGCTACTCAGTGGAGGTACCTTTTTATCTTCAATTAGTGATGGGGTAATTTGCAGTATATAGGAAAAGACATAGGTAGTCTTGACATAGGTAGCATTTGGGGAGTTTTGATAGCAATGAGGTAAAGCCCTGTGGCTGAATTGCCTGCCTGCTGTGCAAAGCTTTCATAGTTCAGAAGGGAGAGAGGTATGTGAAACTCAAGCTACTTAACTTCATGAATGCCTGTTAGCATTTCAAACTTACTGCTTTCAAATGGATTTCACTTGGGATTTAATTTGTTTCTAGTTTCCTTTTATTTTATTTGTGTGCTTGTTACCACTCTCAGAAGAGTAGTAGAAGTCAAGGTATATAGAAAATGGGAGTTGAGAATTTACATGCTATTTTATCAGCTCTTTTACAAGCACTCAGTATATGAAAGGAACAGATAATGGAAAGAAAGTTGCGGGTACTTTCACAAAAATGCTGTATGCTTTTGTAATGTGCACGTCTGAGTTACGTTCTGTGATCTTACCACTGGCTTATGCTTCTGTGAAGTCTGTGTTACTTCTGCACATCATGGTAAAAAGAAACACATAGAATATTAAAAACCGTGCTCTGTAAGAAGTACAACAGAAATACTGTGCTCTGGAGATCTGGTATCCAACGATAACTTCAGGAAGAATTCACTGTTGAGATAACCTTTAAAAATAAAGGGAAATCACAAAATATTTGGTAATAATGATGCCCTCTCATGCTGAAGGCTTCAGTAGGTTTCCTCCACTAAAAAAAAATTTTCTTAAAGTAATTGGCAGCAGCTGTAAAGAGCCAAACCTTTTGAGCAATACTGGAGAGGTGGGGGAGCCAGGGAGAAAAGGGTTACTAGCTCATTTTAGGTGAGATTTCAGACTACATGTTATGGAGCAAACATCTGCATTTGATATTTCATTTTGTTTTGATCCATATTTTTAAAGACATTGCCATTTCCCGTGGAACGGGAATTCACGTTTCTAACCACCGTTATTCAGAAAGTGCTGCTGGTACTAGGAGCAGTCCAGGTGCTTACAGATGTGTTTTGGAGACAGTCATAGTTGACAGCATCTCTTGCTGCTTTTAAAGATGGCATGAGTAACATTAAACATCTCCTACAGAGAAATGCAGACACCACTGAAAACAAATGACTGACTTCACTGGAGTCAGCTTTTCATACCATAATGCACTCCCTGGGTAAACTGAGTACCTTTCTGTTTCAGTTAGTTTAATTAGTCCATAGCTTGTGGTATTTTAGGCCTGCGTAGATCTTTTCCAGAACATACGTCCTTAAGAGTGCCACAGTGGAAAATAAGATTATATCATTAGATGTAACGAGTGACTGATGCCTTTGCATCTTTCTGCCGTACCACCTCTTTGAGGCAGCAAGACTGCAAGCATCCTCCTGCCACAGTTAATTGTCAGACCTCCCAGAAGGAGGGAGCAAGCAGTGTTTAGCTGGTGTTCAGCCAATAATGGACACTTCAGTTTTTCACTGTTAGGAAAGTAGTGTTGTCCCATTACCTAACCTTGACTTTGTCTGTTGCCCTAAATCACTGAAACAGCTATTTCTTGTGTTTTCAATTAAAATTTTGACCAAGGAAAATCTCTTGAGAAGCTTAGTATTCCACAACGCTTGAAGAGAACATAGGTAATGCAGTCCAAACTGATTGTATAACGTATGGAATGTATGAATATCTCAAGTCCCACTGCAGCCCACTGTAGTAATTTCCCATCACTCTTTAAGGCTTGTTCTTTTATGCATGACTTTATTTTAAATAGTGTTTGTAGAGGATAAAAACCCATTGAGATGAAACATCCCAGTTATATTTGATGCTGGCTGTCTTTTTTTTTTTCTAATTGGTGCAAAATGGATTTGTGAGTGTATGGTCTGATCAATGTGCATGACTGAAGTAGATCAGGATTAAAAATACAGTATTTGGTGTATCTGCATTCCATATGTGCCTCTGAAATGTATAATTAAAGGCCAACAAGAATTCTAATTCTATCAAGGGTCATTCTTGCGTAATACAGTACACTGAGGCTCTAACATGATCCTACTGTCTCTCTATATTATACACTAAAGCTACAGGAGTGACATTTTTGTTCGTATTTAGGTGAGATGAGAGCTGATAGGAGTAGAACTGACTTACGAGTTTGTTCCCATTGTAGATTCCAGATAGACTCTTTGCAATGTACTATCATGTTAGCACATGTAAGTTCCCTAGCTATTGTAAAAAGCCGATCCCTCTTACAGTTAATTAGAAAATGTCATACTTTAAAAAGTAGTTCTAAATTCTGGAGCACTTAAGGGATGTGTTAAAAATGAGAAAAATCTCACCATGTTTTGTTGCTTAAAAATAAGTTAAGGTTTCTCAATAAAAAAGAAAAGACTATTTCCAGGCAATGTGTTAGATCTATGCTTTTAGAGAAAATATAAGAGAGAACCTTCTATTGACTTGTATTGAACTCATTGACTATAGAAGTATTAAGCGAAAAATATGCAGTGACCTGTGCATTCTACCATGAGTTCTTTCATAGCACATTTTCCAAATTAGAAACTGCTTTCCACATTAGAGGTCAGAGTTCTTGTATAACTTAGTTTCTACAAAAATACCTGACCATTATATGAATTTGGAGTTCTCTTGAAGCCCAGTACAAGCTTAGTAGATCCAAACTCGTGTGAAAAACAATAAATTATTCAAAAATCACTGTCTGTGATTTCTTTTATTGTTTTGAGGACATATCTGCACACTCACATGAATGAATATCTGAGGCATCTAACTGAGGCATTTAACTGAAAATTTCTCTACATATTCAATCTAATATTTTAGAGCTTTGTAAAAGCTCTTCTGCATCCAGAGTTATGGTCCTTTCTGGTAATCCCCAGGTGTCAGAATGGCTCAAAGTTTCATTGCAAATAAAAGCTGAACATTCACTGCCAGCTCCACGTCCTGCCCAAAATGGTGAAATAGAGCCATCATGTCCTCAACTGAGCTGGAAAAAATGCTGGTGCAGTTTGGATCTTTTCTTTGGAATCACAGTTACACCGGCCCACTAAACTATATGATTACTGTTCAGCCCCAGTCTGTAGCTGGCACAATAGATTATCTATAGTTTTAGTTTCAAATGTTGACGTCCACCACCCTGTGGCTAGAGATAATACATACTCGACTGCAGGATGGCATCATATTATTCATGGTAATAGGTCTGTTTTTTCCATGAATAATGGCCAGTTTAGACTGAGTTAGCAAGGAGTACTGTGAAAGAGCTTGATGTAGTCCATGATTTGCACAGACAGTTGAGAGAGGAATGTTTATTATAGGTAATCAGAATCACCCAGAAGCAGAGCAGCCGACAGGAAAAGTTATGAATGCAAGATTTTAACAGAGTCATGGAAAGAGCCTTTTTGAGCCTTTATATTTTAGAGAAGAGGGAGGTTTAAAACAAAGGTAGCTAATGAGCCAATGAAAACACAGATTCATCATTAAAGAGGTTATCCAAATTATCAAAACATAATTGAGAGACTGAGAACAAAACCTATAACCTTCACCTCGAGTGAGTGAGCTGTTGTTTAAGTGAAACCAAGACTTAATATAGCAAGAGTGATAACAATAATTTAGCTTTTGTAAGATAGCTGTCTACTGTGGATATTCATACTAGAAGTTTGCTTGGGGAGGAGCATCCCTTTGATGTAATTTTAGTGCCTAATTTCTACTGAGATATATATGAAGATCTGTAAAGATCAATTACTCTTTTTACCTTTTTCCCCACAAGGACTTCTCCAGTCCTCCTTCCAGTCTCTCTTTCAGTTACTTGTGTTCCAGACACTAAAAATGTAGTATTTATCCTTGAATGAATAGCTGATACTATAAGTTAAAGGAATTAGTTTCCTAAAAGTACAGCTTGAAGCACATTAGTTTCATTTTCATTATTTAATGTTGGATGTCTGTGTTTCCCTTCCAAGGTCTGTGTGAACGCGCACTTCATTTCAGTCTTTCTCTCTCTCTTGCTCAGCTCCTGCCAGAATTTTGACATTCAGTGGCACGGTCACAACTCCCTGGATGAAGGACATTGTCCTCCCTTGCAAAGCCGTTGGAGACCCAGCTCCGACAGTCAAATGGATGAAGGATAGGTAACCAGCACCTCAGTGCATAGCTCAAATATTTGGTCAACCCATTTGCTTAAAAACCTGAAGGTGGCAATGTCCGTGATCTTGAATGGTTGTGTCAGGAAGGAGAAGAGTTGTTTGCAGGGACTGTGCACAGTCACAGTAGACAAGGAGTTCAAAAATTCTTTGAACTAAAACTGACTGGCTGTCAAGATTAGAAGGTATCAAAAAGCAGGAAAAGTTATGAAGAAGGCGAAAGGTAAATATTCAAAATGTTAAATCTAAGAGTCGTTTCTGTTTTAACTTTAAGCCTACAAAATAATTTTAGTCTAGGAAAGCAAAATGTCTGATGTGTTTTAATTGTACAGAGGAGTGCAGAATACAGGCAAGTCTCTTGCACATATCTTGTTTTACATGATTCTGTTCTGATGCTTAATTTCACAGTTGGACAGAGGCACTTGGAAACACAAAAATTTTCGTTCAAGCAGTGGATCAACAGTGATATTGCAGTATTTTGAGGCTATCTTGTGCTTTGATGCCCACAGCTGTTATTTTATAAGGATGGACACTGTAGCCAGTAACTACTTTTTTACCCTGATTTTGGTACTTTTATGAAATAGCAGATAGTTAAGGAAGGCGTGAGGTCTCCTTTCTACTCAAATTGCGACTGGAGTATCTGTGTTCTTTAAGCAAATGGCAGGTGTTTCCCAGCAGAAAATATTCCTATACTATCTTAATTCGAGAGGACCCCTCCATTCTCTTTTCTTTCTTTCTTCATTTCCGTTCTTAGTTGTTTAAAAAGAATCCAATTATGAGTAATTTTGATTGTAACTTCTTTAATGTATGTACTTTGCTTCCTGTGAGGTAGTAACGGGACACCCAGTCTAGTGATGATTGATGGGCGAAGAAGCATCTTTAGCAATGGCAGCTTTGTCATCCGAACTGTGAAAGCAGAAGACTCTGGATACTACAGCTGTGTGGCCAGTAACAACTGGGGATCAGATGAAATAATTTTGAATTTGCAGGTACAAGGTAAGATTTTTTTACATATCTCATAATTGTTATCGCAGCTATTAACTGATATGGGTTAGTGATACCTGGGTATGTGTGCTTGCAGCTGTATGTAAAATGTTAATATTAATATGCATTAATATAACTGTAACGCTTCCGATTCAATAAATACAAAAAAGATTTTGCTGCTCATTCTGACTCAGTTATCGACATTTTATGATATAATAAATGTTTTACTGTTAGTGGAACAATTTGCACACTTGCAGTTAAGTCTATATGTAAGCTTTTGCAAGATTGGGAACTGAGGTTTTCCATTCAGTTATTTTCCAGTTCTTCACACAGAAAATCACATCTTAGGCCTTCTCCATATAAAAAAGTACCTGTATTCATTTAATTTTGTAAAATTGAGAAAGAGCTGAAGGCCTTTCCTTTAACTGCTAAGAAACTATCAACAGAAATTTGCCTCTCTACTGAGACCTTGGACAAAACCTTCATTCTGCAAGAGCAGAATTGTATTGCTGGTGCACATGAGGAAGCATTTAAAATAAAATATCAGTACAACTTCAACTAGCAGGTATTACCAGCTACTTTCCATATGCATTTTGGAATGCATATATTTAATATGTTATGATGTTGACATGTATAAAAACAATGACAATATAGGAATACCTATTAACAATAAAGTGAACTAGAGCATATGTATTCACATACAAAGAATTCACAACTCGCTAGATTTTCTTGCTCACTGTACTATAGCAGGACTTGAACAAATAAATACTCAGACCCTAAACATGCTTCAATGGTCAACAGACTGTCATATCAAAGGGAAGCAAAAAGCCGAGGTGAGAACGGGGAGCCATTCTGTAGCCAGTCTCTCTCCTGTCCCTAGGTGGGCGATCTAAATTTTCAGAGCAAGCAGTCCCACATTTTAGAACACAGAAAGAGATGATCTCAATCACAGTGCAAATCTCTCTGCATAAACCAATCCACTAAGCCTTGAAATAAATGTCACAGTGTATATTAGCTTATCTAAAACCCGTCAGAGAGCGTAAAGATGCTCATTTGCAATGTCTGAAGCATGACCACAACAGGAAGCAAGGAGAGAAACACTATGAAGTGGAAAACTTGTATTTATACTTCACTAAGTACTTTCATAATTTCATATTCTTGCTGTTATTGAACTGCAGTAACTAAAAGCAGATCTATATTACTTCCCTGTGAGACAGAGCAAGACTGGCATTTAATATGTGGGACCATCATCTTACATGGGTAAGATGAAGCTGTGATGAAAGGTTTTACAATAAATCTTTTGCAGTGTAGTTTGTGCAGTCTCTCTGCATGAAACCAACCAAGTTAGACAGAATAATGGTACAAATCCATCTCATGTAAGCAATTTTCCTTTAGTATAGAAAGTGTCTTTGTTGTTTTCTTCACCATTATTTAACCCTCTAAGTAAGTGCAGTAAAATCAACATTTCTTTGCACTAGTCCTTAGCCGTAAAGCCGCTAAGCCTCAGCTTGATATCAGTACTCATTATTTTGCAATCTAATTCCTTGAATGTAAGTAGAGGCAAAGAGCTCTTCTGAGTTTTGCTTTGTTAAAAGAGCTTCCTCTAAACATAGGAAGAGTAGGCAATTTCCTCTGGCAGCAAACTGTTAGACAGGACAAAACATTTGTGACCTTCAAGCTGCCTTGCCTGTGCCCCAGACCTGGAGAGCTGCAAGTGGGGCTGGGGTCTGTAGAGCCTCAGGGAAACGTCTATTTTTGCCATCAGCAGTCACCACCAACCTGCTGTCAGGGACAGCAGGAAGTATGGCTGTCCTGGAGTCTCTTTGCCCTGGCTTTCCTACCAGCTCTGCCCCTCCTTCTTGGATCCGCTTCCCATGAGGAGCATGGTCCATGCCTTCCTGCTTGCTCTTGCGGCAGTGAAACTCAATCTTGTCTACGTTTCTGAGAAGCTCGGAGAGCTCTGGTAACACTCGTTAAGAAAACAATCTGCAAGACAAGCCAGATCCGGTGCTGCTGTATATTGCCAGAACAGTCCTCCCGCCCTGCCCCCAAAAAAGTTTCTCTCCTCTCTCTCGCCTTCTCAACTTCTGCATCTAGAAATACTATGTAAAGCACTAGGGTAAACTGTGAGCAAATATTTACCCTTCCAAGCTCTAACACTAATTTGACTAACCCTTTGGAATTTCTCCTCTGTCACCTCTTTGCCTATCAACAAACAACTTTAACCTCCACTGCCCTACTGGTTTTGTGTCATGCTTCTCATTTCCTCAATGGTGCAATGGGACTAGCTAAACAATTCAGGTAGAAGTCAAAGAGGATGTCTCCTGAATTGAACTAGAACATTATGATATTGACTCAGTAGACATCATTTTTATGATAGACTCAAGATATTTTTGTTACAGGGAAAAGAAGGCTGGCTACTTTGCCATGGTTGCACCCTGAGCACTGAGCTCTGCAAACCCAGCTGCTCTATATGGGGTCCCTTATGCTGAGTCTAAACTGTACACTGAGCTCCTCTCAGTCCCAGTTCACTGACACTGTCCCGGTTCCCAGTTCCAGTTCTCCCAGCCCCAAGCAACTTGCTAGAACATAGCATTGCTTCTTCTCTGCCCTTTCATGCTGGATTTTCTTCTAAAGCAAACCAGACACTGGACAGAGGTCAGGAGATAAGACCTGTGTGTTATCCGTGCACTCAGTCAGGAACTGGTCCAGGGAGCTGTGAGGTTCTTAGGCCCACAATTTAGATATAACCGTAATGTTTATGGGAAGCAACAGAACTGAAGTTTTTCCAGATTTGTTCAGCCCTTGATGATAGAATTGTGTCTTCTTTTCACCAATAGCATCAATGAATAGATGGTGTAATCTGGAGGAGCGATGGCTCTGTTTCTGATCATAGATATGAGCGGCTTAGCCAGCACTCACGATTATACTTGCACAAACTGTCATTATGCACTTATGTATTTACTTTTGCCATAAGAGTGTAAATGCCACGAGTGTGTCGTTCCTTTACAACTGGACATCTGTTTCTCACCACTGAAAATTTAGCTTTCTTTCTCTAAATCAGACATGAAAAATAATGGAAAACAATGGTTGGGTAGCTCAGTGTGTCATTTAGAAGGAGATCTGGCAGGAAGACTCAAAATTCAGAGAAAAGCAAGGGTTAAGAACTGAAAGACAAAATTGTGAAGAAATTGAAATATAAAAAATGAGAGCTTGTCTGCTCTGTCTTAACCAAGGATGTCAGCTAAACAGACACTTTGACAGAAATCATTTGCATTTTTTGCAACTCAAAACAGTTATTTGATAAATGATTGTTAGAAGGGATTAAGATCTCGCATAATCATTTGGCTCTATTTTCTGTTTTTAACTATTTCCCGTCTAGTTCCACCAG